TGTCATAAAGGCTTAGTCATGTCTCTTGACCAAGCAATGAGCTGGTGCCCTGACACCAAGGCAGTTTCCCTGCATCGCCATATATATACACGTGAGGGGGTTTTGTGATGGACTTGCTCTTGCTCAAAGTTGGTTTGCCGGGAAGAGGGTTTCCCTGCTTCACCACATATACACATGAGGGGGTTTCATGATGGACTTGCTCTTGCTCAAAGTCAGTTTGCTGGGAAGAGGGTTTCCCTGCTTCACCACATATATGAGAGAAGGCAGCTCCCACATCAACCTGCTCTGTGCTCCAAATGGGTTTGCAAGGGAAGACAGTTTCCCCGCTTTGATATATTGGAAACTCATTGGTAACAAACAAACAAACACAAAACACATTGTTTTTCCATCACACATGGTAGTATCATACTGGTACATGTCATTACTAAGTTCCCGGCACCTCATAACACCCCATGTCTATTTCCAGAAGTCCTTCACATTCCAGCCCAGCCCACTTACCATGGGCTCCAGCACTGACCCAGCAATGTCACTCTTGGTGCAATTCCACAAAAAAAGCATGCATCTCTATGCCACTGGACCTTTGTCAATTTCTTCCCACCATGGGCATGGCTGTGTATCATCTCCGTCATTGCTTGGAGGGTAAATGGTTATACCCATGGGAAAACATATGAAGTCCTCTGTGATCTTTGACAGTGCATGGGTCCAGATATAGTGCCTTCAGGCCAGGCAACAACTCCGGCTGGTGGAAGAGCAAGAGTGAATCATTTGTTAACTTGCAATCATGCATTGCCAGAGTTTTGAGGGCCATGAGGTGAGAGAAAGCATCTTCCCATATGCAAACATGGCTGAAGGCTCCGGAGACTACTAGGGCACCCAACATATTGCCGAACTTCATCCCAAGAGCCAGAATTGCCTCACTGAGATGTTTGTTCTGTCTCTGAACCTCAGTCAAATGTGCTTCAGCCCGGGTGCAATCACAGTCTTCAGAATGGGGGCAATCAAGGAATGCTCTCCATCCATCAGCAGGTCCTCAAGCCATGGGAAAATGTGAGGCATGTATTCCATTTCAGCAGATATGTCAACAAGATAAAGGCTTCTGACATTCAGAAAGGAAATGAAGTTATCGAGGTGGACTTGTCCTGAGTATGACAAAGGTGTTGTTGAAGGATTTGTGTCCCATTCCATGATTGAAACATGTTGCATCATTGAGCTGGTGATATGGACTTCTTCTAAACTTAGGAGTGGCTGAGTATCATCCAGGCACCAGTATGACTCTACTCTTGTACAGTTTGAGGTACTTCAGGAAAGACTGGTTTGAGAGAAAGATGATGACACATTTCTCACAGATGCCACTGGCATAGAACATGGTTAGTCGATGCAGAAGCATGAAGTGGTACATGAACTGCAACATGTACTCTCCCAATGTGGTCCCACCTCCCATGTCAATGCAAAGTTCATGACATCAAGGCCAGATAGGATAAGAGACAATTAAACCTGGAAGGGTGAGTACCCATTCCTCTCATGTGCTCTGTGTACTTGCACCACCAAGGCGGAAAGTTACTCTTAGCAGTTGGCTTCCAGACAACTTGATATGGCAAAGGAGAATTCTTGGAGGCATTGCACCCATCCAATACTTTTGTCTGAGCTCCATGTTCACTCCCCCACCCCAAGCCATCGAATGACCATCTCTGAGCTTGATGTTGGTCCACAACAACAAATGGGTCTCCACAACATGCTTGAATGTCTTGCAGACTTTGCTAATGTCACCGAGGAATTTGGCCCTCACCACTGGCAAAGAACCATGTACAGCCTCCTTGATGATCGCAAAGAGAATCTCTGAGGGTAGAGTTGACACATTGATCACACTCATTTGATGGTCTGAAATTGATCCAGTAGCATTTTTTGACATCTTTGACGTGTCACAGAGTAGATAGCTCAATGGAAAGTCATGTTGCAAATCATGGTCTTATATATGAGTAGCCTATACAGCAGAACCAAAACAAAATTACAGGTGACGAATATTATTAATGTATTGGACATCATAATTGGACTGCAAAAACATTACAAAAATGGAGGTGCTGTTGGTTGTATTGTGGCAAGGATGAACTGTGGCAAGTCACCGTCAAAACAATCAGCAGACCCTCCCCACATGTTGGGCACCAGCTCTCTTATACTTGTCAAGACCCTCATTTTCACTGTCAGTACACTTCAACAGCCATTCTGTCCCATTTGCCCAGGTTAGGTGAGGCACTCATTACTCATTCCTACTCTGTCAGCAGAGGCCGTGGCTGTGTCAGAAGGAATTAATGAGTATGCCTGACAGTGCATTCCACACCGAGAAACACCTGTCAGCTGCAACATGTCAGGCCAAGCTACTCCAACTGCTCCCCTGACTCCTCTTGACTACTGGCAACAATCCCCCAAAGACGTAAGCAATGGATCCATCCATACATTGTGTTTCCCTCACCATAAAATGTAGAGACTATCACAGTTTGATAACATCATGAGGTGCCAAGATGGTGTTTCCAATGGGCTGTGGGAAGCACATTGCATCCTCCTGTGCCCTCTCCTGTTAGATGTCATATCCCAGTATGGCTGGTCTAAATATTCATTGAACATAGTAACTGATATCTTGCTAAAGTGGCAGAGATCAACTTCATCTTGGCAAGGTAAAGATTGACTTCCCTGGTCTTCCATACTGACCATCATTTGATGATGGCCCACAAATGTTGAGATTCTCTTTGATGGTCCCTCTCAGTCCCACAGAGCTTCCTCCCCAACTGTGCCATTCAGCTCCTCTGACTCATGCTGTTGGCATCTTACATCACAACATCAAGACCCTTGGCATGCGTGTTGCATATTCAGATTGTCATTTGCTGATTAGTATGTCATCACTGCAATCCTTGAAGACTTCCTCATTTCCCTTCAGTGTGCCTGTGGATGGAGAACCTTGTCTTGTCATCCTTGCCCCATATAATTCAACATGTCATCACTGGCTTCTACCTCAGCACAATGCATACAATTTACAGCCATAAACATCTCTATTTTCAATCCCCCAAAATGTACTCTGCTGCCTCTCTTTTTCAAAATGGGGTTCCCTTGACAGACATCCAACACCGGCAACTATGTCCTTGTTTTGCTGCATGTCCACCTGGGATGTCTTGGATCATGACTGGCATGACATGCTCTCCACCTATGCCACAGCTCCCTTTCACCATGGAAGCCAAAGAATGAGCCCAGGCAGAGCAGCAATGTCTACTTGGCCAATTCATTGGACACCACTACATTCCCACTATATTTCAATGGGCATCTATGATCCACAAACTGTCTGAGATGCATGGGTTCTTTTTTCACAGGGAAAGTGTGACCTGGCACTCAGAGGGTATACCTGTCACCAATTGTGCCGAGTGGCTCATATTTGTCATGTGCACTGTTTGCTCTACATATGGCTTGATTTTGATTTCCTCTTAGCTTCGCCTCATTGCTATCCAAAGAAGAGATAGGCCCAGAGTGGTGTGGTGTAGAAGCCTGGCTTTTCACTATCAACACACACCTCCATGGCACCAAGTGCAAGACCACCCTCAGTGCCGATCTGCCCAATCATGAGCGATTGCAGACCATTGTCTCTGCAATTACCCAGAAGTCCTCTACCTGTTGCCTTGTCTGTCACACTGTACTGAAGCACCACTGGCCTGAGCAGATGGCCCAAATCCAATTCACTGAGTGGAGGGCAAATGCCACACAGCCTGGAGGTGGAACCTGTATGGATGTACTGACATATGACCTCGACTTCAATAACTGGATCAAAGAACATGAGTGCCTGCTTCAGTCTTTCAGGTGGATGGATGTTTTTGTGTGACTAAGAGCATGTTCTATTCTGCTTGATGCATGTATGCACACTTTCCTTGATATCAACCTCTGCAATCACACATAGAGGCCATGACATAGTTAGTATACAGTCACAATGTATAGATAATACATCATTCATAATCACCAAGTTATGCTACAGACTTCATATACCAAGCCACTTTGTGGCCTGTTCCCTCTCTTCTGTTGAGTCCCCTTCAGCCAGCAAAGTCAAGTCATTGCTAAGAGCCTCTTCTAATATCATACTGGCACCTGACATAGTTGGCACTTCATTTAGCCCATCTTCACCTAACCATGCAAATACTGAGTCATCCTTAGATGAAAGCACATAGCTTTGCAGCTTCCATACCTGGCTCTCTGGGAGTTTTGTCAAATCAGGATACAACACTTGCATCATCTCCAGGTCGCGTGACACAATATGGTATATCACCCCTGTGTCCTTGTTGTCATGGGGATGAGATGCCAGGATTTGATCACCAGAAAGACAATAACCAAACATGTGTGGGAATTTCCATATACTGTACCCCAAAACAAGTGCAGCTAGAGCACTGGTTGGTACTGAGCAGAAACTTGGCATGATGTTGTCCATGTCAGGTACAAAACCTGTGGGAAGCTGCTCAGCACAGACTGGCAGTGGCTTGTGCCAACATGAAGCCAAGGATGGGGTTGGGAAGAGATGTCAGGGCACCAGCTCATTGCTTGGTCAAGAGACATGACTAAGCCTTTATGACATGGAAGTAGCTGGTATACCTTGGCATGTGCTGGAACCTGCTGGAAGGATTGGATGGTCAGGTGACCTGCTGTGCATGGCTGTGCATGACCTCATATGACCTCATCCTTGGTCATATGACCTGATCACCTGACTAGGCTGAGTAAGCAAGATGTTCTAGCAGGTTCCACCACAGAGGTATAAATATAAGGCCTACTCTGCCTGGGACTGTCTCTTCAGACTTGGTCTCTTAGGATCATCCACAG